GGTCCTGTGATTGTACTGTGATTGTGAGTGCACTGGGCTCGATGGGGAGGTCCTATTTCGAGTCAATTTTGAAAACAGTCTTTTCCAAATTGTTGACGTATGTAAGTTGAGTAAATTTCGTTGCTCTGGTACTCATAGAACAGGGAATTCCTTAGTTTGAGAACAAGTAATAAGGTGGAGTTTAGTCAAACAAGTACGAAATTTTTTTATATTACTTCTTCACTAGTTTAGGGTATTAGTTTCGCGTACTACTAGTATGATAGCGCAATATCACTCAGATTTGGGACTTACCAGCTGTAGTTGCTAAGCGATTGACATAAAATGCTTTTTTGTGATAACTGTTTCCGCCAGTACCAGGGGAGTATAATTTTACGGAGTTGGTGGCCAACCAAGGTAACGAAAGCAACTTCGAGAGCCTACATAAAAGGCATCGCCTTGTATATTTCTAAAATACTGACAACCTGCGATAATTTTACAAACTTGATAAACAACAACTTTTGTTCTGTCTTTTAATAATTTATTAGGTTTTATTTTCTTACAAAAAATATATTTTTTAACCGATTTCAAAAAAGGAGGAGGGTCTCAATTCGACTGTATGTTCTTTTTTTTTGTATGTATGTTACGCGATAACTCTGGTATTTGTGAACCGATTTTCATGATTCTTTTTTTGTTGGAAAGGGGGTAGTTCCATAGTGGTCCCATTTCATTATGAAGAAAATCATCCACCTCGAAGGGTGGCTGTTCACGCATGAAGATTCATTTTTATAAATAGCGCCTAACTTTAATTTAGGAGCAATTACTTTAATGGTTGATTTTGCTATTTCTCTAATTCGAGGCGTTTTTCTCTCAATATACTTTGAGTAGTGTCGTAGTGAGAACCTATTTTTATTATCTCCAGTGTCAAGTCCTGTATAGTGGCGAACTAGGGGATATTTCAATGAAACTTAGCACATAGACGTAATTCCACGTACTTTTGAGGTCGGTTTTTTTAGTACTCTGTACTGAGATTATTTTTGTAAATAGATCGCTTTAAAGGGTGGTAACTCTATGCGGTAACAAAAGAAAGCGTAACACCTAGGAACTAAATTAAAAACTAAATGGTTTATTTTTGGTAAATTTATTATGATTTTACAAATAACCCTGTTTATAAATAAACAAAATGTTAGCAACAATAGCAGACAGTAAACGGTGAAATGATAACGACGCAAATACTTGATTTGATACGCACGGTTTATTATGATTGTAAATGTTTATACTACCTTGCGACATATTGAATTTACTTGTAGCCTACTAGAACATTTTAACTTAAATGTTTTCGATTTTTGGCTGGGTGAGGTTTATGCTAAATCCGTAATAGACTAGCGTGGTAAATGACACTTAATGGAGACCGATACCCTGTAATGGAAAAATATTATGAACAATAATAGTGGCAGTCATGTCAAACGTGTATACCATTTTAAATGTTTCGAAAGGGAAGAAATCATTGTCTGAAGTGCCACTTTTTATAATTCAATACCATAAACATGGGAGGTTTTGTCTCTCACCGTTCTACGTTGGTAAGCATCCATAAATAATTTTGTTATACTTTCTCGTTACTTACTAAAGGGATCATCACCCCTATCACTCCGTCATATCTCTTTGTAGGTGTAATAAAAAGCTACTTTTTTATTTTTAATATCCTATACCTGGTGGTAAGCGACAAGCTTGTCCATAACAGTTGCAGTGCCAGTCACAGCTTTAATTCGTAAAGATCTGCGGGGCAATGTATATGAAGGGGCACTGCCACTGCGTCCGTCACCTTGAGACATAAGTCGACAAGTCCTATGTGCCTGCAATTTCACCAGCACCTTTAGCCTTCAACGCCGGAACACAATAATGCTGACATTACTGCTTAGCGGCAGAAATAAGTGAGGTGGTAGTACGTCCTCCTTACAGGTGGTGGACAAATTTTTACACATGGAGCTCTACTGTTACTAAAACACAGATGACGCGGGTTTACGGCGCTTACACGCGCGTCGTCGTCGTGTATAAAATACGCCGTGTGCGTGCCTATGGCTCTTAGGCTGAGATTTGTCTCAAAGTCTCAAGTCCCATATGCCTGTAATTTCACCAGCACCTTTATCTTTCAAAACCGATGATATGATATTTCAAAGTCATTTAGGCGAACGTGTACTCTAACGTGTACTCGAGTGTGTCGTAATTCTAGTTCACATAATTACTTGAGATTATAGACAAACGTGAGCCTATCTCTAATAGAAGAATGCCTTTATCTACAAGACCTAATTACCATTCGAAAGAAGTGTCTTTTAGCAAGCCGCAGCGAGGTCGACCTAATCGTTATGCGACCGATATACTTGAAAATGTTAAAATTTCTTTGCAACACATCCTTACTTGCGTCCATTCGAACGCGTGCTAAGAATAAATTAGTTTATTTGATTTTATCCTTATTGTTGGTCCTATAGAGTATATTATTTTCTGTACCTATGTACATGTACCCCTATGGGTAAATTGGATAAAGCTTAAAGGATCTAATTGATTTGTGTTTTGTACATAATGACTCTGTCTATTGATTAATGAAAATTTAAAATAAGAAAACACGCCCCTTTTGCATAAAAATAAGCATTGTTGTTACTAACCTAAAACAAACAAAATTTTAATTACAGATAGTTCTCTTACTGTGAACAATTAAAGTTAACGCCAAGTTTTCCAAATAAAAATACAAACCAAAACTAAATGAAATTTCTATTTTCAATACGACGCTATAGAATAATGAATACAGTATTAATGGACCACTGTATCTTTGACATTACAGTAATCAAAGTTAAATTTAAGTGGTCACGCTAACGGAATAAAATATGGGAAATGGACATGATCACCACAATCGAATTTATGATATATCGATAATCGATGTTACTAAAGGGCAAGGTCTTGTCCGATTTGAGCAACATTCATGTCGCATATAAATTTTGTCATATTGATGGGACACATGATACACATGTTAATGTTGAACACGGGTTACGCGTTAAAGTAGCGTTGTTGAATATTTTCTCTGACAATTATCAGATTATAATTTTATCAACCGACTTAAAAAAAGGAGGAGGTTCTTAATTCGAGTGTGTGTTTTTTTTTGTATGTATGTTATGCGATAACTCCGGTATTTGTGAACCAATTTTCATGATTCTTTTTTTGTTGGAAAGAGGGTACCTCTATAGTGGTCCCATTTGATTTTAAGAAAATCATCCACCTCTAAGGGTGGCTGTTCACGCCTGAAGATTCATTTTTATAAATAGCGCCTTAATTTTATTATAAGGAGCAATTATTTTAATGGCTGATTTGGCTATTCTCCAATTCAAGGCGTTTTTCTCTCTGAATACACTTTGAGTAGTGAGAACCGATTTTTATTATCTCCTGTGTCAAGCAAGTCCCGTATAGTGGCGAACTAGGGGATATTTCAATAAAACTTGGCAAATACACGCAATTCCACGTACTTTTGAGGTCGGTTTTTTTAGTAATCTGTACTGAGATTATTTATATTATATGTTTAATTTAGTTTATTTGAAATATAATGTAATTTACATTATGATTTCATTCTTTTGATAGAAAAAGCATAAATTTCAAGGAAGTAATACAAAGACTAGTAAGTATCCCCATGTCACCATAAACGTGATGTGACTCAGATTTGAAACATGTTATGTAACTTTTATCGGCACTTTAAAATATTTCGTCAGCAATGACGATGGTCTTCAAAGTACTATGATAATTGTATTTTAGTTGTCATTACATTGTGAATAAATTTAAAATTCCTTGTCATTAGGAGGGTCCCCACTCCACTTTGCCAGACGATGAGTTCTACGATGCAGTTGAGACAGGATTCGACAAGATGGAGGAGGAGCGGTGTGCCCGCGTGGTGCCGCCTAGTGTAGCCACGCGTGACCAGGTCGAGTTGCCTCCACCGGCCATTGACAACCGCCTCACTGTGCACGCCTTGTGGCCTGAGGTGGGTTTTACACACTTTTTTTTCACACATAAGCGCGTTTGCGCATTGCATCCGATTCGTATTCGTTCCAAATCTGAGACTATACAAATCTAGAAAACTCGAACCCACTTCGGAGAATAATATAAATAAATATAGATAAAATGATCGCTGTGACATTTCGGACCGTCTTTTCTCGGATTTGGAACTGGGGGTCTACTCTCGATCTCCGTCCGACATCGGTCCGAAACAATTACTGTCAAATAAGTAATATTCAACACACAACAAAATTAAAAGACAAGTATCAGGTATGAAGCTTCATTCGCATCACGTGTCTTTTCATTTGGTCAAGTATTGTTTATTTGGCTGGCAGTAATTGTTTCGGACGGATGTCGGACGGAGATCGAGAGTACACCCCCTGTAACGAATAGGACGTAGTATACGTAGTATAGTAGTCTATGTTAAAGTATAGATAGAAGTGGTAGTACTACTTGTCAACATCAAGTTCAAGTTGCTTATCCAGTGTGAATTGTGATAGTATAGGTTGTGAACTAAAACGTATTAAGCCGAAAATGGTATCGTGGTTGCGTAGGCGAACTTGTGAGGTAGATGCGGCGACATTCATTCATTCATTAAACGATATTAAAACATTTTCTAGAAATAAAATATACCATCTTACTCTAAACACTTACTTATTACGGAATATGAGGAAATAAAATGTCATTGAAATATTTCTAATAACAATCGAGTAAAATTGATTTTAACATAGATGAACGTAGTAAAAAACGAAAATTGTGATTTTTTTATCGAGCAAGGTTTAGTCAAACGTGGTACGGACTCCATAGTTCAGTAGCGATATATTGTTTTAATGTTGAAAAACTCATGCATCCAAACGTCTATTTTAGTCTCAGTTCACCGTAATATGTTTTGCAGATCGACAGGATATCAACAGAACAGATGCAAGCCGCGTTCGAAGGCGTCGGCGGCGAAATTGGTTGGCAGTTGTTCGCCGAAGAGGGAGACATGAGGATGTATAGGAGGTAAGAGTTGAATTTCGTCATCGGCTATTTACATTGATTGTACTACCTTAAACACGGCGCGCGCCGCCCGAGATAAAACAAACTTATAAATTTGTTCGTGACCGATGTCCTTTTTTCACATCGTAGGAGTGATGTGAAGAAAAGAGACATGCCCCCTGAGATGTGCCCCACAAATCTTTGCGATTTAAAGCTCTGAGTGGCACTGCAACTGTTTCGTCCCGTGCACTTGATATTATAAAAGAAGTGCTGCCACCATACCTATTTCTGCCGTCAAGCAGTAATGTGAGGAATACTACGTTCCGGGTTTTTAACTGTTATAGCGTCATTAATACAATCGATGATTCCGCCAATGTCAAGGTTAGGAAGACACGCGTTTATTATTCAGAATTTAAGCGGTGGTTATTGAAGGGTAACTTTGTATCCCAGGGTGGCAGGCGCAGTGGCAGTGCCTCTCAGATCTTGGCGATTTAAAGGTTTGAGTGGTGCTGCGGCTGTTATGGGTAGGACTGTCGCTTTGTTCATCCCGTCACTAAGAACTCAGTGAACCAAGTTCAGTTAATAATAAATAGTAAACGTAAAGGCCAGATAGTCCTACGTTAACATATTTTATCGTATTTTTTTCCAGGGAGATGGAAGTGGACGGAATGGTGATGGATCCTCTGAAAGCGATGCACAAAGTGCGCGGCGTGTCAGCGCGCGAGATGTGCCATTACTTTTTCAACCCTCGCTACCGGTATGAATGGGAAAGTAAGTCTTATTTTAACTTTTTCAACCACATCATTTACTCAATTTGAAACTTAGAAATCCTCTTTACCAGAGCAATGAAACTCACTCGTGGCACTACCCAGAACACCCACACTAGTCAGTACTAATTTAGAAAAGTTTCCCAAATTGGTCCCACCTTAAACCAACATATTAACAAAAAAAACTGATATTGTTTCATCGTTTTAATCACAAGAAACGCCATCAGGGTAAAACTAATAAGAAATAATACAAATTTAAAATAATAAAAGGGTAATTCTGTAATAGTAATAAACACTCTTCTCCCTCCAGCAACACTAGAAACGATGACCATCGTCGAAGAGTTGTCTTCAGACGCAATGGTGTTCCACCAGACATTCAAGCGCATCTGGCCTGCATCGCAACGAGACGCGCTCTTTTGGTCACACGTTCGTGCCTCTGAGGGCAACACTTATGCTGTTACCAATCATTCGACTACGAATCCGGATTATCCAGTAAGTATCATCGTAATGTATAAAAGCACTTTGACTGTTATAGATGTTAAAAAATATAGTTTATATGCAGGCAGAGAAGCATGAGAGACGACTTAGGTAATCAGAGTATTATAAAAAGGTGTAAGGGAGTGTTTGTTGCGTGAATCGGTCAGTCTCGGACTAATGTACAATTTTTATTATTGCGTCATACTCGGACTAGCGTTTATTACCTAATTTTCGTGGCACTTTTTATTATTTAAGTATTAGATTTTTTATCGTGCTATTTTCATTATTAATATTCGAGTACTAATCGTGAAATATTATTTGATAATTACATGATAATATACTTGAAAATTTAAATGCTAAAAATTGCCACGGAAATATTAGGCAGTGAATACTAGCCCAAGAATGATTGATTTAAGTAATCGATTTTTTGTCGTGCAATATTATTTAATATTCGAGTATTGTGTCGTGAAATATTATTTAATAATTACACGAGGTATACTTGAATATTTAAATAATAAAAATTGTCACGGATATTAGGTAGTGCACACTACTCCGACAATGACCGGAATAAGATCTGTGTGTGGGTTGTCTCACGATATGGGTAGTTTCAACAAACCATGGCATCAACCAGTTGCATTCATAAGAAAGCATCAAACAGGGTAGGTTTTTTTTGTAAAAATAGCAGTTTTAGTTTTTATTACTCTATTAAAACAAGACATAAGTCGGGCCCCAAATCAAAATTATTAAATTTTAAATCGTCGCAGTTTTGTGTCGATAAGAGTGTGAATGCCAGGATTGTGTACGTTTGGTGGCTTGTCAGTAGCCATTGAGCTACTATTCAACTGCCATTGTAATCTTTTGGAATTCTGCTTTTCAATGGCGAGTTGATAGCACGTTTATGACGTCGTCTATTAATGATTGGATATAAAGAAAATGCATTTAATTTGAAGACTAAATTGCTGTTTAAACGAGATACTAATTAAAATATGTATATTTCCATGGTAGTTTCAGAAGGCAACATCGATCGTTAATGATTGAATGAATGAATGCTATCACGGCCATTCCTGACACTATTGAGACTTAACTACCATTACAACTAGATTTTAGCAAAATAACAATTATATCACAAATGCAATATAATCTCAGTGAAGTTACATTTAGTCAATGGCATTACAATTACATGTGGTTTCAAGAAAATTTGCTGAAGTAGGGCCCAGTTTTTTTTTATACAATATCAGGCGAGGGGACGAACATGTCGTACACCTGATGGTAAGCTATACGCCTGTCCATAACAATTGCAGTGCCACTCGGACCTTTAAAATCGCAAAGATCTGAGGGGCACTGTCACCTTGACACATAAGTTGACAAGTCCCATGTGCTTGTAATTTCACAAGCACTCTTACCCTTCGGTTTTGAAGGGCAAGAACACAGTAATGCTGACATTAGTGCTTGGCGGCAGAAATAGGTAAGGCAGCAGTACTTCCCTGGACTAACTCTTTCACAACAAGCTCAAGTACTATAAGTAGCTGATAATATCGGTCAAATAATATTTCGCGAACTATATCAAACAAATTGTGTTTCAGCCGAACACTAGTGCGTGTATCCGCCTCTACGTCACCGTGTGCCTGGCGTGTCGCAGCGAGTACCCGGCTGGCGAACAGCCCACGAGGGAGAACGTCGTCACCAGCATCGCCTATTGCAGTACAGGTTTGTTGTTTGACAAAACCTTTCAATTGTTTTGTAGGACTCATTTCTTCACACTATCGTTTGTCTATCATGTCTTATACTGAGTATAGTCTTGAGTAATACCCGCTATTAATTCGTCAAGTTTTATTTTGGTCGAATGGGTGTGGAATAGCTGATGTTATTTCGCCATTTGAAAGAGGTACCCGTAGTGAATTGTTCGTAGGCTTAGGTGATCTTTGAGTGTAACGCTATTAACGAGGACGGACATTTCGAAAAATACTAGAGACTTTTATAAAGAATGACTACCTTTTGGTATGAACAACGTTTTCTATAGAACGCATATCCAGGTTTGCGAAAATATTGCTAAACATTCTAGAATGAATCAATATTCTAGATTATGTGAATGGTACTGCAACTGTTATGGACAGGCGTGTCGCTTACCACGAGGCACACGGCTTGGTCGTCCCATCACTTTCTACCAAAAATCTTATCTTGGGTAAAAAAATATAGATTGACAAAAAAAAGAAATCAACGGCTTTCACAATTCCATTATATCCGGTAGACAGTAAATTTTTTTAGGTTGTAATTAGTTTTTCAATTATTCAGGTTTACTTTTGACATATTAATATGCTTAGCTATTTAAATAGCTAAGGCATAAAACTGCGTTCATGAAACATATCGACTGTGAACTGGCAACCGGTACTATCTTAATTTTGACAACTTTACGTTTACTTTACAGGTGAAGAAAAAAATTGTTTGCGTCATTTATATACCATCTGGTTTATTAAATAAAAATACGTAGTGTGTAATAAAAATATTTAAAAACTACGTATTTTTATTTAATAAATCATGCTATATAAATGTCGCAAACAATTTTTTTCTTCACCTGTAAGTCAATGTAAAGTTGTCAAAATTGAGATAGTACTGGTTGCCAGTTCACAGTCGAATTGCGATTTATGGGACAGAGAATCTGTATTGCTTGCTGTATTATAAGCGGATTGTCTATGATTTGTCTCGAGCGCACACGTCACATAATGCAAATGTAGAGGGGGTCAGTCTATGTACAACCGTCAGCTAGGAGGCACGTGGTACGCACCACAATACCAATACGCTGTTATTTGTAGGAGCGGATATTACTCTTGCATTGGCTAAGTCTAGTAGATTACTTTGTTAGACCCAGTAATAATTATATACTTTGTTTTCAGTAAACCCCGGAGGTTGGGCCCCTGCCGGCGTCCTCCGTGCAGTATACAAGCGCGAATACCCCAAGTTCCTGAAACGGTTCACCAGCTACGTGGTTGACCAGTGCAAAGGGAAACCGCTCGCCATCTAGCGATAACATTGGACAACTAACTGTGTCCCTAACTTTGTATTTAGTATTTAGATAGCTCTGTGGTGAAATGCCTAATATTTGATACGGCGTAAATGATACATTCTTCTTAGACGACACCCATGTCCGGCAGTGGGCGGAAGATATGGGTTGATACGGTTTAATACTGATATAAATTTAAAACAGATGCAAGTGACACCATTTATAAATGCAAATGGAGAGGGTATAATGAGTTAATATAATAATTCGCTGTACACCGCAACAGCATACAAAACCGTTCGGCAATTGTAGCGTCATTAAATTTAACATTTCTTTCATCGATTTCTGATAAGAGATATTCTGTCAGATTTCAAGAATCCTCACCTGTACTTTGTGCTAGGTCCCGTATAATTTATGCTTTTTTATCCAAAACTCTGAAGATACGCAGCCAAACTTTTATACTTCCAAACTCATCAACATAATATTATATAAGTGCGATTATAGACGTAATAAACTACAACTACTATATACTGCTCCTAGATATAGAAAACATCTTATCAAAACGTGTATCGAACGGCAAGCCTTAGCTTTCCTTTTCACACTCGCGTAGCATTTAAAGACGTATGAAAGGGACGATAAAAAATAGAGCTATCGCTTTCTCTCGCATAGCATATTCAAGCGTTTGAAAAGATAAACGGATTTTATAGAGCTATAATTAATTATACGTGTTCTAAGGGTTTATATTCGATTACCGTTATAGTCCGTTGGCTGGATGATTTTAAATGGCTCATTATGAACTGTGTATTTTAAAATGAAGACTTTTGATAAGAATATACATAATTGGCAGACTGCGTAAGATTAGAGCCACATCTAGCGGAAATTATGCAACCGAATTGCGCACGCAGAATGCCAGACGAGTCTGCCTTTATTGTCCTAATATAAAAAAATAAAAAAATACACGCGTTCCTTATATTTGAGAAGGTGTTGTTGCTGGTGTATAAATAAATAAATAAATAAAAAATAATGAAAAAAAAAGTACTTTTTAATTTAATCTTTATTAATGGAGTGTTCTTTATACACCAGGATTATCAATTTTTGAATCACGTTACGTCAAAAGAATACAAATTAAAGTTAAAAGTACAGCATTGAAATACAAATTAATAATACAGGATAAATTCAAAGTAAAGACTTATAGTATTCAGATGTATACCTCAGTTTCGCACACTAATTTACAGTAGTTTCATTTACATGTAAGTTGCTTTCATGAGTGAGTTGCGCGCGCGTAAGTTTGAGTATGCACGTTTGCTAAAACGTAAATGCGGCCGAGACGAACACATTGGACGTAAGTTCGAATCAAAAATCGACTTTGGAAGTCGATTTCAGTTTTGAAAGTCTCTTATATGGTAGACTGAGTAAACCGACCAAATTGCTAAATATATAGAAAATCGTGTACTTACAATTTTCGTCCTATTGCCAGAAAGCCGATCCAGGACTCATTAAGTGCTTGTAAACACCGGAAACGTACCCCAGGAATATAAGAGATGCAAAGTATAGTTTATAGTAATAGAGATGCAACTTTGTACTTACGTATCTCTTTTTCAGGGCACACTCTTAAAAAGGGATATGAATTACATATCACACATGAAACCAAATATTGTCGTAACTCAAAAATGAGAAAACACGATTTGATAATAAAATTAATGAATCTTATTGCGAATAGTGGGATTACTTTTATACATAAGAATTAGTTATCCCATTATAAACGAGAATATTTATTGGTTCAATTCAGTAATTTTTTGAACTTTCTAATCGTGTTTTCTTGATTCCATTGTTTTTGAGTTACGACAGTATTTGATTTCATGTGCGATATTTGCTGCTACATACTGCTACTATATACGTAAGGCACAATTTCAAGAATTGAGCTCATTTTTTCTTCAATTGGTTGGGTGTGACACTGTACTAGCAAGGCAATTCCTGTCTTTTCGGGGTTCAAGACAAAAAGAGATAAAGATACATGGAACTTGTTTGCGAGAAGAGAGACGATTGTGTTCAGCTAGAGTTGACGTATAAATAGCGCTGAGAATATTGTAGTAAAACAGGGTAGAACCGATTTTGTCACATGTAATCATAGCGTAGTATCGTTTTCGAGTGGATTTAGTTTGTTTTTGAATTTTCTCATGACAAAGATATTTCTTAATACCGCGAAAAGACTTAACGTCTGTTTAATGTTATAATATTATGTCGTACATTGTAGGGTGACTTAGAGCCTTAAAATAAATTTTATAATGACGAGTAGGTTGGACCGTTCTTATCATAAGCGATATAGAGATGAATTTAAATCTTAAGTATTAACCTTGAAGTGCTCTAGACCCTATCCACCCAACACAAGGTTAAAAGTTGTCGAGAAAGATCTGCTAATATACTGTATAATTTTCTTATGTCATTTCGGTCCGTTTTCATAGACAATTGTCAAAAACAAGCTATCCGCTTATCTCATCCATCCGGTATAATGTTAAAGGATGTTTGAAAAGGGTTCAATAGTACTTTAGGATATGAAGACGCCCGTGATACATTAGCGGCGTAGATCCTCAAAAAGCTATAAATTGTTGTTTGTATCCGTTCAAACGCCGTTGATTCTAAAGCAATGTTTGTAAAAACATGTAATTTATTCCTAGATATGAACTTAAGGTCCTTTACCTATTACCTACACATAAATAGTTATTTGTATCGATTCAAACGCGCGTACAAAGCTATGCAAACGTGCGTTTGAATCGATTCAACTACAACAACAATATCGCGTTATAAGGCGGAGGAAAGGGGCGGGGGAGGGTAGACCATTTCGCCACTCCGCCAGCTGCAATCGTTTGTATCGCCGTAAGCTCGGCATATTTTATACGCGCAGATGACGTGCACTACACGAACGCGCGTTTACGGCGCGTCGCCACTAAAGTTGTGAACGCGTGCAAAGGTTTATGTCCACTTGCACTAAACTTAAGTACGTCCTAAACAAACGCTTAAATTTATAAGACACTCTTAACACAATGTGTTAAGAGCGTCTTTTGCATTGCAAGCATTGGTTTGAGACGTACGTTTAGTGCGTGTTGACATTACTGGCCGCGACTGATTCGCGTTAACGTGCGTCACCTGCGTGTCCTCTATTAAAATACGCCTAGTGTATGGTGCTTTGCCTTCACTGCAACACAAAGCATAAGTTAGAAAATCCACTGTTTTATTTGTTTTTGCCTATCTCTGGCCCTCAACATGGAGAATTTTGTGCCCCAAAGTATGGTTGAACCCATTTCTAGGTTTCCTGTATGAAATGTTTTCCAGGGATATAAGTAGTTAAGAAATCTTCAGCATACGAATTTTTGCAGTCACGTTGGTATTATTGTTAATATATTATTATTATTGTATTAATCGTGAGTTATTATTTTTCATTCCCATTATTCATGTTCATTTTTCATACTCATCAATTATATATGCTGCAGAGAGAAAAAAATTTGGTGTGTTTTTTATAGACGGGGTTTTCGGGAGTTTGCTAGTGTTATTTTAGATTTAATGAAATCAGGGTTGTGTTAGGTTAGCGTCAAAATGATCTGAGAATTCAATGTTGAATAATAACTACCTTATTATATCCTTATGAAAGCATTATAATTAACTACTATGCACTTTTGATTAAAACTAATCTGAAAACTTCAAATTAATTAGGTAATGTTATCAAATTGTTCATATTTGACGCACTGTTCGGTTTGACGCTAACTGTACCTATGGTCAAAACTATGAAAATATTTTGCATTGGACCCACTGGGGCTAATCTAATAAACTAATCTGATTAATGTGTAAATTCTTTTTCCCAATGATCATAGAAATCTCCATTAAAATCTTTTTTTATTGAAGTTGGTCTATAACATTGCATTATATGAGCAAATAAGGGTGAATTTAGAATTTCTCTAAGAACCGCACAGTGTGAAAGTTCAGTCGTGCGGACGGGAAAACAAAATCCCATTGGAAGTCTAATTACCAATTGCACGAACTGGAAGAACCCCATCTGCTATCACGAGATGCTAGTAATCCCGGGCACCCTGTGTACTATGGATAAGAAGAAAAATATTTCCATTATCAATAGAAATGTTTGTAAGATCTATCATCGAAAGTCGCAGAAATATAATTATAAAACTAATATAGCATATAAAATCTTATAAATTGCATTTATAATATCGCAATGTTGGAATTGTAATTAGTTATGCAATGTAAAATATGTTTTTTAATTATTGTTTATAATAAAATGTTTTATATGGACAATTTGCGTTTTTCTTCATACAGATTGAACGAAAATATTACGAGTCAAAATAATAAAATGGCGTTGTGAAGTAGCCACTTTGAAATTTTCTTTTTAATGTAAGATTCGATTTTTTTGAAATAAAATGACCATTAAAATGTTTGCCCATATTAAAAAAAACACTGAAATAAAATGAGATATGAGCTTAGATAGCTGAGATATCTGCTTCTAAGACATTACTTTCTTCTAATGATCGCTAGAGTCGCTGTATAATTTGCCATACACAGTAAAAAAATCCACTTGTCCCCACCAGGTGGGATAGCTAGTGGAATAGATCATTCATTGCTTCTATTTTCTCAATGTCTCTCGGCAATCGTCGGATTTTGGCAAATACACGAGTATTAATTTCCAATCCCATTATTATTATTAGGTTTAAAATCTATAATGATTTGAATTTTGAGCAACGTTATAGATCTGTAAAACTATTTCCCAATTTTAAACAGCATTTACTCTATGTCAATAAGCTTCTTTTATATAACTAAAAAGGAATGTTTTTTCGGTTATTAATAATTTCAATTCAGTCCATATCCGAACGCATTTCTTCATCTGACATAGCTATGTTAGTATGTTCACTATCGATGGAATAATCACTTCCTGCGCTGCTCTAACAGGAGGTGTTTAGGTGACTGAAAAGGAAAGATTTATCTTTTTTTCATATTCTTTCAAAATATTATTAATACTGTTCTGATTGAAATGCAACAAGCTCTAGAAACATGTTTTTTGAACGTATCAGCTTCTTATAAAAATTACAAGTACAGAATAGAATAGAATAGAATAGAATAGAATACGTTTATTTGCCAGAATACAGTAATTACAAAGGTCTTAAGTAAAATTAGGTACATTGTATTCAACCTGCAAGCAGATGTGCAAATATTAATGGGATTCAATGTTTCTTTAGTCTCTATAGTTTCTAATTAATGTAATGAATTTGTAAATTCTAAGTATTCTTTATTATTATAGAAGCAATGTGTCAAAAGCCATTTTGTCAATTTTAATTTAAAAGTATGTCCTTGTAACAATTTAATTTCGTTTGGTAATTTGTTGTAAACGCTGTACACGCTGTAAATTATAAATAAAAAATGTAAAAGCAACTCTAT